GAGCCTTCAGCCATTGGTGTTCATACTCCAAGTTTCTTAGCCCTTGGAGGACAGGGACCCCCCACCCCCGACATTAAGAATCTAAACAAAAGGCCAGGCATGGTGGCTGACACCTGTAATCCTAGCACTTTGGGAGGCTGAGGTTGGTGGATCACTTGAGGTCAGGAGTTCGAGAGAAGCCTGACCAACATGGTGAAACCCCGTCTCTACTAAAAATACAAGAAAAGTTAGCTGGGTGTGGTTGGCCTGGCTAATTTTGTATTTTTAGTAAAGATGGGGTTTCACCATGTTGGCAAGGCTGAACTGCTAACCTCAGGTGATCTGCCCACCTTGGCCTTCCAAAGTGCTGGGATTACAAGTATAAGCCACTGCCCCCAGGCTCTTCTGCTCATCTTGAAGACTCTTTATTCATCCAACCTTTTTTTCCTAACACACATTTCCAGCAGTTTTCCAGCTAGGCATCTCCATGATCTCTCCTTAATTCTGCGCTTGTGTCTGTGATGATTAAGATCATGAGCTCCAAGGCCAAGGCTCCCTGGGTTCAGATCCTGGCTCTAAAACTTTCTGTGGACCTTGGCAAGTTCTCTAACCTCTCTGTGCCTCTATTTCTTTACCTGTAAAATGGTGAAGAATGGCACCTACCTTGCCATTGTTGTGAGGGATTATGTGAGTTGATGGATGTAAGGCACTCAAAGTAGTGCCTGGCACAGAACAACTGCTTGGTACAATTCTCTCTGCTGTTACTGTTCTCTCCTATAGTGTGTGTCATTAGTAGTTTCTTAGATCTCACGTGTAAACTGAGAAAGAATTCTTACAAATACAATTCTTTTTTTTTTTTTTGAGATAGAGTTTCACTCATGTTGCCCAGGCTGGAGTGCAATGGCACTAGCTCAGCTCACTGCAGCCTCCACTTCCCAGGTTCAAGTGATTCTTCTGCTCAGCCTCCAGAGTAGCTGGGATTACAGGCATGTGCCACCACGCCCAGCTAATTTTGCATTTTTTTTTAGTAGACATGGTGTTTCTCCATGTTGATCAGACTGGTCTTGAACTCCCAACCTAAGGTGATCTGCCTGCCTCAGCCTCCCAAAGTGCTGGGATTACAGGTGTAAGCCACCATGCCCAGCCACAAAATCACTTTTAAAGGTATCTAAAGGCTGAACATGGTGGCTCATGCCTATAATCCTAGCAATTTGGGAGGCTGAAGTGGGAGGATCGCTTGAGTCCAAGAGTTTGAGACCAGCCTGGGTAACATAGCAAGACATTGTCTCTACAAATAAAAAAATTAGCTGGGTATGGTGGTGCAAACCAGTAGTCCCAGCTACTTGGGAGGCTGAGGTGGGAGGATCGCTTGAGCCTGGGAGGTCAAAGCTGCAGTGAGCCGTGATTGCGCCACTGCGCTCCAGCATAGGTGACAGAGCATAACCTGTATCTAGTAGAGTAGCCAGGTACATTGAAAAATGTTTCACTTTTCAAGTCTCAAGGACAATGAAATAGCTCAGTGATGAAAGACAGGGGAGTGATCTACCCCTCCTACCTTGACAAAGGTGGTATTTCCTGAGACTAGAGGAAATAGACATGTGGCTGATTCTGTAAGAGGTGAGATTAAACAGTGACCCCTGACAGCAAGACTTCTGATGAGATGGAATAGAATGAAAGTCCTAGTGAGTGCAGGGCATGAAGAGGGCTCCATGCACAGGAAATACAGGCTCATGCAGACTTGGTCAATAAGCATCTCAGTGGATAGATGGAAGACCAGAGGCCCTTCTCCAAGTCTTATGGATGATTCTAGAGAGGACAAAGAGCCCCCTAAGGGATGGCTTTATGCTCTAGAAGGATAAAGAAATGTGATGTTTCTTTTTTGTTTTGAGACAGTTTCACTCTTGTTGTCCAGGCTGAAGTGCACTGGTGTGATCTCGGCTCACTGCAACCTCTGCCTCCCACGTTCAAGTGATTCTCCTCCCTCAGCCTCTCCAGTAGCTGGGATTACAGGCGCGCACCACCACGCCTGGCTAATTTTGTATTTTTAGTAGAGACAGGGTTTCACCATGTTGGCCAGGATGGTCTTGAACTCCCAACCTTAGGTGATCCACCTGCCTCGGCCTCCCAAAGTGCTGGGATTATAGGCATGAGCCATCACACCCAGCCAAAGAAATATGATGTTTCTTAAACCTTGGTGTCTTAGGGCAAATTTATAACAATACATATATGTTAGCCTTTCATTTTCCTTCTAATTGTAACTTGTGTGTTTTGTTTTCTGAGCTGAGGGCAGGGGCTGTGTGACATTCCTTTGTGGCTGGCTCTCATAGTCTTTTCACTAGTAATTTTTCATGAATGGGTAGAGTCACTGAATTTTAGAGGTGGAAGTGCACTTAGGAATTATACCTGGTTAGTGCTGACAGTGATTATTATGAAGGCCAAGCCAAAGACACCAAACTATTGGACCTTTTTTTTTTTTTTTTTTTGAGACAGTGTATTGCTCTTGTTGCCCAGGCTGGAGTACAGTGACACAATCTTGGCTCACTGTAACCTCTGCCTCCCAGGTTCAAGTGATTCTCCTGCCTCAGCCTCTTGAGTAGCTGGGATTACAGGCGTGTGCCACCACACCTGGCTACTTTTTGCATTTTTGGTAGAAATGGAATTTCACCATGTTGGCCAGGCTGGTCTGGAACTCCTGATCTCAGGTGATCCGCCCGCCTGGCCTCCCACAGTGCTGGGATTACAGTCGTGAGCCACTGTGACCAGCCCAGTCCTATGTTCTTAAAGGAAATTCTGAGGTCAGGAAGTTTCACCTCTAAGTACTGGGCCTAGGCTGAAAGGCAGGCCTTAGATAAACATGAAATTTAACTCCAAACAATAGGTTGCTCTTCACAGTCCACTGTAACCCACAGGCACTGATACTCCTTTAGGAAAGATGAGAACAAACAAATACTCTCCCCCATCTGCTAGCATTGAAATAATTAGAGCGGAGCAGTTGAGAGTTCACCAGGTCTCTCATTAGCTTCAGGAAATCCTGCCCACAAAACTGGGAGAAGCAGGACCCAAGTCAAGACTCTGGAGCAGGCTATCCAGTTCTGGAGCCAGCTGGAGAAGGATGAGAGCTCTGGAAGACACACGGCTTTGTGTTCTGACACGTAGGCCTGGACCAGAGTGGTTGCCTCCTTCAGGGGACAACCAATCCATTCCAGCCTGCTTTGGGCCACTCTGTGACTGTGCTCTCTGATCCCTTTATTGTCCATTCTTTTCCTCTCAGTACTCACTCCATTCACGCTGCTCCCAGAGTGCTCATGCGATGGTTCCTCTGGCTCCTGGAATGGTGGTTCTTAGACTTTTAGACCTCTTTAAGAATCCAGTAGGTTGGGTGTGGTGGCTCATGCCTGTAATCACAGCACTTTGGGAGGCTGAGGCAGGCAGATCACCTGAGGTCAGGAATTTGAGATCAGCCTGGCCAATATGATGAAACCCTGTCTCTACCAAAAAATACAAAAATTGGCCAGGCACAGTGGCTCACACCTGTAATCCCAGCACTTTGGAAGGCTGAGGTAGGCGGATCACGAGGTCAAAAGATGGAGACCATCTTGGCCAGCCTGATGAAACCTCATCTCTACTAAAAATACAAAGATTAGCTGGATGTGGTGGCATGTGCCTGTAGTCCCAGTTACTCAGGAGGCTGAGGCAGGAGAATCTCTTGAACCCGGGAGGCGGAGGTTGCAGTCAGCTGAGATTGTACCACTACACTCCACCCTTTCGACAGAGCGAGACTCCACCTCAAAAAAAAAAAAAAATTAGCCAGGTGTGATGGCAGGTGCCTGTAATCCCAGCTACTCAGGAGGCTGAGGCAGAGAATTGCTTGAACCTGGGAGGCAGAGGTTGCAGTGAGCCAAAATCACGCCATTGCACTCCAGCCTGGGCAACAGAGCAAGACTCCATCTCGAAAAACAAAACAAAACAAAAAACAATGCTGGCTGGGAGTGGTGACTCGTGCCTGTAATCCCAGCACTTCGGGAGGTTAAGGCAGGTGGATCACCTGAGGTCAAGAGTTTGAGATCAGTTTGCACAACATGGTAAAACCCTGTCTCTACTAAAAATAAAAAAATTAGCCAGATATGGTGGCATTTGCTTGTAGTCCCAGCTACTTGAGAGGCTGAGGCCAGAGAATCACTTGAACTTGGGAGACAGAGGTTGCAGTGAGCTGAGATCACACCACTGCACTACAGCCTGGGCTAACAGAGTGAGACCCCATCTCAAAAAACAAAAATGAAAACCATGCAATATCCTACCTACTGAAATTATCATTTAATTAATAAGAGATGGAACCTGGGCATTAATTTTTTTAAAAAATATAAGAAGTATTAAGGTATAATTGATATAAAATAAAATACACATATTTAGATATACGGTGGGTGAATTCTGATATATATGTGAAACTGATTAACATGCCCACATTTCCAAAAATGTTCCCCATGCCTTTTTGTAATCCATCCCATGCCACTCCATGTCCAGGCAACCACTGATCTGCTTTCTGTCATATTAGTTCTAGAATTTTATATTAATGTAACCATATAATCTTTTTTGGGGGGTAAGTCCTAGCTTATTTTACAGTATCATTAATTTTTTTGATATTTAAAATACAACTTAATTCTGATTCTAAACAAAAAGAAACGGGAATGACAGTAGCAAACAAGATTTCACCACTGAATATTGTGATGTGATTGTAGCAGCCTCATATTTGAAATTCAAGGAATCAGCTGCGTTCCAAAATGGCTAAATGTGGAGGTCCAAACAATGAAGGCATATTTTAAACTGCCGCATTCACTCCGAAGCCAACTCATCTCCTTCAGCATCCTACAGATGAAGCCCATGTTCCACTTAGCTAGGTAATAGTGAGGTGGTGGCACATGTGCTGCACTGCTGACATCACAGGACAGCTGCCTGTAAAACTAGACTTCTTTCATCTACTCAAAAAAAAAGCAAAACTAGACCCATGATGCTGGGCTCCAGATTCATTCTCCGAGGTCATCATCCTCATCCGGGACAACAGTTGTCTGAGCAGCCTCTGAGTCATACTCATACTGCGCTGCCAAAGCTAGGTCCTTGACAACCTCTGGTGGGGCAAGAGCAGGCATGGCAACAGATTCCAAGCTAGGGTCTCCAATGAACTTCCCTAGCAAGCCAGAGGAAGGGCTTTTCAGAGTTGTGGTTACTTTTGGCAGAAATGTCATAGTATTGAAGATTCTTCCTTCAATGGAAGACGATGGATTTTGCCTTCACTTTCCGCCACTTTGTTGCCATGCAACACAACGGGGATGTTTTCACACACTCGCACTGGATCTTTATGCCAGTTAGGCACATTCTTGTAAGTAACTCTCTGCGTTACATCAAACATTCTGATGGTGCACGTGGCTTGGATATAATAGCCATCTCTCAGTCCACTGAATTTCTCCTGGCCGGCTGTGTCCCATACATTAAACTTAATAGGTCCTCTGTTGGTGTGGAACACTAGGGGATGAACCTCAACACCCAAGGTGGCTACATACTTCTTCTCAGATTCATCAGTCAAATGACGTTTCATGAAGGTTGTTTTTCCAGTACCACCATCACCAACCAATACAGGTTTGAACTGGACCTGGGGCTCTCCCTGCATGGCATCTCAGCGTTCCTTCCAGAAGCGTCTCTGTGCCATCTGACTTATTAAATATTCATCCACATGGATAGAGTTATTGATAGTTGGCTCCTTTTTATTGTTGAATAGCTATAAAGAAGTTTCAGCGAACTGACAGACTGCAGTGTGAGGGAAGAGTCCCCGTAAGACTGCCCTCACTTCAGACTCCAATTGCAAGTTTAGGGGTCCCTCGGGCCACCTTACTTCAGATAAGGGGGCTATATAATTCAGGGATTCCTATGACCACCCTCAGGTTCAATAATTTGCTAGAATGACTCGCAGAACTTAGAAAAGTACTGTACTTATGATTATAATTTTTTTATAGCGAAAGGATACAAATTAGAACCAGCCAAAGGAAGAAACACAGAGGGCATAGCCTGGGAAGGTTTTGAATGTGAAGCTTCTGTCATCCTCAAAGACGTGTTACGCTCCTGGCATTGAAGTATGATAATCCTGAAATAGTACCGCCAAACAGTGTCCAGAGTTTTTTTGTTTTTTGAGACAGAGTCTGTCTCAGGTGCCAGGCTGGAGTGCAGTGGCTCGATCTCAGCTCACTGCAACCTCCGCCTCCCAGGTTCAAGCAATTCTCCTGCCTCAGCCTCCCGAGTAGCTGGGATTACAGGCACGTGCCACCATGCTGGGCTAATTTTTGTGTTTTTAGTAGAGACAGGGTTTCACTGTGTTGGTCAGGCTGGTCTCCAACTAACCTTGTGATCCACCTGCCTTGGCCTCCCAAAGTGCTGGGATTACAGGCATGAGCCACCATACCTGGCCCTCTTTTTTTTTTTTTTTTTTTTTGAGACAGAGTCTTGCTCTGTTGCTCAGTGGAGTGGCATGATCTTGGCTCAATGCTACCTTCACATCCCAGGTTCAAGTGATTCTCTTGCCTCAGCCTCCCGAGTAGCTGGGATTACAGGTATGTGCCACCATGCCTGGCTAATTTTTTTATTTTTAGTAGAAACAGTGTTTCACCATGTTGGCCAGGCTGGTCTTGAACTTCAGGTCTCAAGCGATCTGCCTGAATTGGCCTCCCAAAGTGCTAGGATTACGGGCGTGAGCCACCATGCCTGGCCTAATCGGTGTATTTTTTATGTCAGTAATTATACTTTTTATCTCTCAAAGTCTATTTTGCACATGTGTGTGTATACACACAACATTTTTGTATACATGTGAGCATGCACACACACACACACACACACACACACACACCCCTTCCGTATCTCTCTTTACCATGCCCAATCTTTCTTCTACCTTCAAACCTATGCATCAAGTATATTTATAATACCTGTTTTAATAATCCTTGTGTATTATTGTAGCATCTGTGTTATTTCTGGGGTCTGGTTCTCTTCATTCTTCTCCTCACCATTTGTTGTATTTTCCTGCTTTTTTGCTTGACTAATACTTTTAAAAAAATTAATAGACTTTATTTTTAGTGCATCTTCACATTCACAGCAAAATTGAGTGGAAATAATAGAGAGTTCCTGTATACATGCTGTTTCACAAACGCACAGCCTCACCAGCATCCTGCACTAGTGTGGTACATTTATTATAATCAATGAAACAACACTGACACATCGTTTTCACCCAGTATCCATGGTTTACATGTTCACTCTTGGCTTTGTAATTTCTTTTTTGAGACTGGATCCCCCTCTGTTACCAAGGCTGGAACACAGTGGTGCGATCTTGGCTCACTGCAATCTCCACCTCCTGGGTTCAAGTGATTCTAATGCCTCAGCCTCTGGAGTAGCTGAAATTACAGGCATGGGCCACCACGTCCAGCTAATTTTTTGTATTTTTAGTGGCATCGGGATTTCCCTATGTCGGCCAGACTGGTCTCAAACTCCTGGCCTCAAGTGATTCGCCTGCTTCAGTCTCCCAAAGCGCTGGGATTACAGAAGAGTACCACTGCGCCTGGCCTAGCTTTGTAATTTCTATGAGTTTGGGTAAATGTATCATGACATAAATCTACCATTGTTCTATCATACAGAATAGTTTCACTGCCCTAAAAGTCCTCTGTGCTCTGCCTATTCATCCCTCCTTCCCTAACCACTAATCTTTTTACCTCTCCATAGTTTTACCTTTGTCAGAATGCCACATAGTTGAAATTATACAGTTTGTAGCCTTTTCAGATAGTCTTCTTTCACTTAAAAATTTGCATGTAAAGTTCCTCCATGTCTTTCCATGGCTTGATAGCTCATTTCTTTTTAGCACTGAGTAATGTTCCATTGTCCGGATGTACCACGGTTTATTTATCCATTCACCTATGAAGGACATCTTGGTTACTTCCAAGTTTTGGCTTTTATGAATAAGGCTGCTATAAACATTCATGTGCAGGCTTTTGTGTGAAGATAAGTTTTCAACTATTGAACAAATGCCAAGGAGTGTGACTGCTGGCCAGTATGGTAAGAGTATGTTTAGTTTTGTAAGAAACTGCCAAACTGTCTTCCAAGTGACTGTACCGTTTTGCATTCTCAACAGCAATGAATGAGAGTTCCTGCTGTTCCACAGCCTTGTCCGCATTTGGTGTTGTCAGTGTTCTGGATCTGGCCATTCTAATAGGAATGTAGTGGTATTTCATTGTTTTATTTGCAATTCCCTGATGACTATGTTGGGCATCTTTTCATACGCTTACTTTCCCTCTGTTTATCTTCTTTGGTGATGTCTGTTAAGGTATTTGGTTCATTTTTAAATTGCATTGTTTGCTTTCTTATTTTTGAGTTTTGAGAGTTCTTTGTGGCCAGATGCAATGACTCATGCCTGTAATCCCAGCACTTCAGGAGGCCAAGGCAGGCAGATCACTTGAGGTCAGAAGTTCAAGACCAGCCTGGCCAACATGGAGAAACTCCATCTCTACTAAAAATGCAAAAATTAGCTGGGCATGGTGACTCATGCCTGTAATCCCAGCTACTCAGGAGGCTGAGGCAGGAGAATTGCTTGAACCCAGGAGGCAGAGGTTGTGGTGAGCCGAGATTGTGCCATGGCACTCCATCCTGAGTAACAACGTGAAACTCCATCTCAAAAAAAAAAAAAAAATGAACAATGAGAACACATGGACACAGGGAGGGGAGCATCACACACTGGAGTCTGTGGGGGCGTAAATAGGGGAGGGACAGTGGAGGTGGGGAGTTGGGAAGAGATAGCATGGGGAGAAATGCCAGATATAGGTGATGGGGAGGAAGGCAGCAAATCACACTGCCATGTGTGTTCCTATGCAACAATCTTGCATGTTCTTCACATGTACCCCAAACCTAAAATGCAATTTAAAAAGAGTTCTTTGTGCATGTTAGATCCTTTATCAGATATGTTGGTTGCAAACATTTTCTCCCAGTATATGGCTTATCTTTTTATTCTCTTGTCATTGGCTTTTGAAGAGCATGATTTTAATTTTAATGAAGTCCAGCTTATGAATTCTTTCATTCATAGATTGTGCCTTTGATGTTATACTAAAAAGCCATTGCCTTACAAGATCACCCAGATTTTCTCTCCTTTTTTTTTTTGTTGTTGTTGTCTTTTTGAGGTGGAGTTTTGCTCTGCTGCCCAGGCTGGAGTGCAGTGGCATGATCTCCACTCACTGACACTGCCACCTCCCAGGTTCAAGTGATTCTCCTTCCTCAGCCTCACGAGTAGCTGGGACTACAGACATGCACTATCATACCCTGCTAATTTTTGTATTTTTATTAGAGACGAGGTTTTGCCATGTTGGCCAGGCTGGTCTCAAACTCCTGACCTTAGGTCATCCATCTGCCTCAGCCTCCCAAAGTGCTGGGATTTTATGTGTTAGCCACCGCTCCTGGCCCAGATTTTCTCTTATGTTATTTTTTTAAATGTTTTGCATTTTACATTTAGGCCTATGATCCATTTTGAGTTAATTTTTGGAAAATATGTAAGATCTCTCTAGATTTTTTTTAATGTAGATGTCCAGTTATTCCACCACCATTTGTTGAAAAGATTGTTTTTGCTCCACCGTATTGCTTTTGTTACCTTAGTCAAAGTTCAGTTGATGGTATTATATAGGTCTACTTCTAGGCTCTCTTTTGTTCCATAGATCTATTTGTCTATTCTTTTACAAATACCACATTGTCTTCATTACTGTAGGCTGATAGTGAGTCTTGAGGTTGGGTAGTGTCACTACTCTGACTTCATTCTTCTTTGTTCAATTTTGAGTTGGTTATTCTGGGTCTTTTGCCTCTGCAAAGTTCTCCTGCCTCAGCCTCCCAAGTAGCTGGGATTGCAGGCGTGCACCACCACACCTGGCTAATTTTTGTATTTTTAGAAGAGATGGGAATTTCACCATGTTGGTTAGGCTGGTCTTGAACTCCTGACCTCATGATCCTCAAGCCTTGGCCTCCCAAAGTGTTGGAATTACAGGTATGAGCCACTGCACCCGGAGTTTTTTGTATTTTTTGGTAGAGATGGAGTTTCACTCTGTTGGCCAGCCTGGTCTCAAACTCCTGACCTCAAGTGATTCGCCCGCCTTGGCCTCCCAAAGTGCTAGGATTACAGGTGTGAACCACCATGCCTGGCTGACTTCTTGATATTTTTCATCAGAGGCTTGTAGTTTTCTTCATATAAGTCTTGTATATATTTTGTTAGATTTATACCTAAGTGGCTTTTTTGGATAAACAATTTACATTAAATTAATGTAAGTTGTACACTTAATTTGTACAACTTAATATAAATAGTAATGCATCTTTAATTTCAAATTCGACTTGCTTATTGCTGAGAAATAGAAAAGTGATAAACTTTTGTATATTAATCTTGTATCCTGCAACATTGCTATAATTGCTGATTAGTTCTAGGAGTTTTTGTTGTTGCTGATGATTCTTTTGGATTTTCTACATAGACAATCATGTCATCGGTAAACAAAGTCTTATTTCTTTCTTCCAAATCTGTATGTTTTTATTTCATTTTCTTGTTTTATTGTACTACCTAGGACTTCTAGTATGATGCTAAAAAGCTGTGGTGAGAGGGGACATCCTTTTTTCCTGAACTTAGTGGGAAAGCTTCAAGTTTCTCACTACTGGGTATGGTGTTGGCTGAGGTTTTTGTGGTAGATGTTCTTTATCAAGTTAAGGAGGTTGCCCTCTATTCCTAGTTTTCTGAGAGCTTTTTAAAAAATCACGAATAGGTATAGGATTTTGTCAAATGATTTTTCTGTATCTATTGATATGATACTGTGATTTCTCTTCTCTAGCTCAATTCTAATGATGAACCAGCCTTCATACCTGGGCTAAATCCCACTTGGTCATGGCATATAATTCTTTTTTATACATTTGTTGGATTCACTTTGTTAATATTTTGTTGAGGATTTTTGCATCTAGGTTCATGATGGAGTGGTATTAAGGTAATGCTGGCCTTATAGAATAAGTTAAGAAGTATTTCCTCTGCTTCAATTTTTTTGGAGGAGTTTGTAGAGAATTAGTATAATTTATTCTTTAAACATTTGGTAGAATTCACTGGTGAAACTATCTGAGATGGTGAATTCTGTTTTGAAGGTTACTATTTATTGATTCGATGTCTTTAATAAATATAGGCCTATTCAGATTGTGTTTCATCTTGTATGGATTTTGGAAGATAATATCTTTCAAGGAATTGGCGGTCCCTTTTATCTAGGTTATTGAATTTGTGGCGATAAAGTTATTCATAACGTTCTTTTATTCTCCTTTTGATGTCCATGGAGTCTGTTGTGATGTTCCCTCTTTTATTTCTGATATTAGAAATTTGTGTCTTCTTTTCTCTTCCCTCCTTTCCTTCTTTCCTCCCTCCTTCCCTCCCTCCCTCCCTCCTTCCTTCCTTCTTTTTATTATTCAAGGTCTCACTCTGTTGCCCAGGCTGGAGTGCAGTGGTGTGATCTCCACTAACTGAAACCTCTGCCTCCTGCATTCAAGTGATTCTCCCACCTCAGCCTCCCTAGTAGCTGGGACTATAGGTGCACGTCACTACGTCCGGCTAAATTTATTTTTTATTTTGGTAAAGATGGTATTTCACCATGTTACCCAGGTTGGTCTCAAACTCCTGGGCTCAAGTGATCCATCCGTTTCAGCCTCCCAAACTACTGGGATTACAGGCGTGGATTACCACGCCCAACCTTCTTTTTTTCTTAGCCAGGTTAGAGGTTTGTTGATTTTATTGATCTTTTCAGTACTAGCTTTTGGTTTCATTGATTTTCCGTCTTCAGTTTCACTAATTTCTCCTCTAGTTGCTCTCATTTTTATTATTTTTCTTTGGCTTACTTTGTATTTAATTTGCTCTTCATTTTCTAGTTTACTAAAGTGGAAGGTTAGACTATTGATTTTAAAGAATAAAAGTATTAATTTTTATTCTTTCTAACAATACCACAAATTTCCCTCCAAATACTGCTTTCACTGCATCCCTCAAATTTTGATAAATTATATTTCATTTTTATTTAGTTCAAAATATTTTTAAAATTCTTTTGAGGTTTCTTTTTTGACTTGTGTGTTATTTAAAAGTGTGTTATTTAATCTCCAAGTATTTGGGAGATTTTCCAGGTACTATTCTGTTCATGTTTCTAGTTTAATTCCATTGTGGTCTGAATTTGCCCACATTGTGTGATATCTATTCTTTTAAATGCATAGAGCTGTGTTTCATAACCCAGAATGTGGTTAATCTTGGTGAATGTTGCATGTGAGCTAAGAAAAGTGTGTAACCCCCTGTTGTTGGATGAAGAAGTCTATAGAAGTCAACCATATCCCGTTGATTGAAGTGTTGTTGAGTTCAACTACGTCCTGATCGATTTTCTGCCTGCTGGATCTGTCCATGGCTGATAGAGAGGTGTTAAAGTCTCCAATTACAATTGTGGGTTCATCTATTTGTCCTCTAACTCTTGGGATCAAGTGATCCTCCTGCCTCAGACTCCCAAGTAGCTGGGATAACAGGTGCAAACCACCGCACCTGGCTGCCTGCTCTTATTTCTTTATTTATGTATTTATTTATTTTTGAGACAGAGTTCCACTCTGTCATGTAGGCTGGAGAGCAGTAGTACAATCTCGGCTCACTGCAGACTCTGCCTGCAGGGTTCAAGCAATTCTTCTGTTTCAGTCTTCTGAGTAGCTGGGATTACAGGCATATGCCACCACGCCCAGCTAAGTTTTGTATTTTTAATAGAGATAGTGTCACCATATTGGCCAGGCTGATCTTGAACTCCTGGCCTCAAGTGATCCACCTGCCTCAGCATCTGAAAGTGCTGGGATTACAGGCATAAGCCATCATGCCTGGCCAAAACCATTGATGTTTAAAGTGATTACTGATGAAGCTTGACTAATATCTGTCATATTTGTTACTATTTTCTATGTCTTGCCCGTTTTTTATTTCTATTTTTGTCTTCCACCGTTTTTCTCCCTTTTGTATTTTCTTTTCCTTTCCTTTTTTTTTGTTTGAGATGGAGTCTTGCTCTGTCACCCAGGCTGGAGTGCAATGGTAAGATCTCTGCTCACTGCAACCTCTGCCTCCCAGGTTGAAGTCATTCTCCTGCCTCAGCCTCCCCAGTAGCTGGGATTACAGGCACATACCTCCACGCCAGCTAATTTTTGTATTTTTAGTAGAGATGGGGTTTCACCATATTGGCCAGGCTGGTCTCGAACTCCTGACCTCATGATCCACCCGCCTCAGACTCCCAATGTGCTGAGATTACAGGTGTGAGCCACCACACCTGGTCTTTTTTTTTTTTTAAGAGAAAGAGTCTGGCTATATTGCCCAAGCTAGCCTTAAACTTCTGGGCTCAAATGATTCACCCACCTCGGCCTCCTGAGTAGCTGGGACTACAGGCACATACCACTGCACCTGGCCCTCCATCACTTTTTTTTGAGACAAGGTATCACTCTGTCACCCAGGTTGGAGTGCAGTGGTGTGATCATGGTTTACTGTAGCCTTGACTTCCAGGGATCCAGCCTCCAGGCTCCCACCTTGGCCTCCTGAGTAGATGGGACTATAGGCATGCACCACTGATGCAGGACAGGCATGCCCCAGAATTGGAGCTTAGTCCAGGAGGGTTCTTGGCTTCACCTAGGAAATAATTCAACAGGAGCCAATGGTCGTAAACAGCAACTTTTATTCAAGTTGCATTGTACAGCAGCAACAGAGGTACTGCTCCTATAGGGCAGGGCAGTATCCAGAATAGCAGCTCAGAATATATTCACTCATATTTTTAATCCACTTTTAATTATATGCAAATTAAGGGAGGGTTTATGCAGAAATGTCTAGGATGAGCATGGTAACTTCTGAGTCATCAGGTCATTGCCATGGAAATGGGTGGTAACTTCCAGTGTTGCCATAACAACAGTAAACTGACATAGCACATGTGGGCATGTCTTATGGAAAGTTGCTTCCATCCAGGGACCTGTGTTAGCTAGTTCTCAATTTGGTCTGGTGTCCAAGCCCCACCTCTGGAGTCGAGTCCATACTCTACCTCACCACCACACCCAGGTATAATTTAAAAAATTTTTTTATTTTGTAGAGATGGGGGTCTCACTATGTTGCCCAGGCTGACCAGTAAGTCTCCACTTAGACCTCCTGAAGTGCTGGAATTATAGGTGTGAGCCACTGCGCCTGACCTTTCCATCACTTTTGAATGACAATTTCACGGGGTACAGAATTCTAGGGTAGTGGGGTTTTCTTCTCTCAACACTGCACATTTTACTATGCTTGCATGGTTTCTGAGAAGTTGAGTGTAATTCTTATCTTTACCTCTCTATAGGTAAGGTGTTTTTTTCTGACTTCTCTTAAGATGTTTTCTTTTTGATTTCCTGACATTTGAATATGTCTAGGTACAGTTTGAATATGTCTAGGTGTTATTTCGTGGGTTTTTTGGCATTTATCCTTCTTGGTGTTCTCTGAGTTTCCTGGGTCTGTGGTTTGGTGTCTGACAATTTGGGGAAATTCGGCTGGGCATGGTGGCTTACACCTGTAATTCTAGCACTTTGGGAGGCCAAGGCAAGCAGATCGCTTGAGCTCATGAGTTTGAGACTAGCCTGGACAACATGGCAAAACCTGACTCTACAAAAAATACAAATTAGCAGGTGCCTGTAGTCCCAGCTACTCAGGAGGCTGAGGTGGGAGGACGGCTTGAACCTAGGAAGTGGAGGCTGCAGTGAACCAAGATCGCACCACTGCACTCCAGTCTGGGTGACAGAACCAGACCCTGTCTCAAAAAAAAAAAAAAAAAAAAAACTGGGGAAGATTCTCTGTCATTATTACCTCAACTATTGCTTCTGTTCCTTTCTCTCTTTTTTCTCCCTGTAATAGTCCCATTGCATTTAGGTTATACCTTTTATAGTTGGCCAATAATTATTTGATATTCTGATCTTTCTAATTTTTTTTGGACTTTTTGCTTTTCAGTTTTGGAAGTTTGTCTTGTCATAAGTTCAAGCTCAGAGATTCTTTCCTCAGCCATGTCCAGTCTACTAATGAGCCCATCAAAAGCATTCTTCATGTCTGTTACAGAGGTTTTGATCTCTAGCATTTCTTTTTGATCCTTAGAATTTCCATCTCTCTGCTTACATCATCCCTGTTTGTGCACATTGTCTACTTTTTCCATTGAAGTCCTCAGCATGTTAGTCATAATTTTAAAAAATTCCTGTCCTGATAGTTCCAGGATTCTCGCCATGTCTGATTCTGATTCTGATGATTGTTCAGTCTCTTCAAACTGTGTTTTTTGCTTTTTAGTATGCCTTGTACTTTTTTGTGAACAGTGGATGTAATGTACTGGGTAAAAGGAACTGCCATAAATAGACCTTTAGTAATGTAGTACCGCGTGGGAGTGGGGAGTGTTCTATAATCCTATGATTAGGCCTTGGGCTTTTCATAGGGGAGCCTGTGCCCTTGGACTATGAACTTCACCAGTGCTTCTCTTGGTGGAGTTCCCTTAGGTGGATCAGGATGGCTAGAGGGGACTGGAATTGGGTATTTCCCTTCCCTCAGACAGGTTAGGCTCTGCTGATAAAACCACAACAGATCGGGCTCTGGTAAAATGGTTGCTCCTGAGGGCTGTCCTAGTGAAGAACAGAATATTTAGGCAGATTTCAAAATGGTTCCTTTTCCCCTCCTGTTAGCAGAAGAATGAGCACCCGTGAGGACCTGGCAGCACTCCTGGAGGTAACAGTATGTGGGGCCCCTATGATTGGGTCTCCCTGGACTTCTTAACTTGCAGAGTTGTCCACGCTGAGCAATTCATCAATTACAGTTTAGGTTTTCCTACCCCTGCACCATTTCCACACTCTCAAATTATAGAGGCAGCAGTTCACCCTGTGACCTCACTGCTCTGACATGTCTTAGAAGAGTTGTTGATATTTCCATTTGTTCAGCTTTTTAATTGTTGTTAGGATGGAGTGGTGACTTTTAAGCTCCTTTTGGCCAAACCAGAAATGGGAAGTCCTCATTTTTTTTTTGTATTGGGGTGCAGTGGTGTGATCTCGGCTCACGCAACCTCCAACTCCTGGGCTCAAGTGCTCCTCCTGTCTTAGCCTCCTGAATAGCTGGGACTACAGGCACATGCAACCACACCAGAACCCCCAGCTAATTCTTTTTTTTTTTTTTTTCACTAGAAATGAGTCTCACTATGTTGCCAAGGCTAGTCTTGAACTTCTGGGCTCAAGCAATCCTCTTGCATTGGCCTCCCGAAGTACTGAGATCACAAGCATAAGCCACTGGACCTGGCCCCTTTCTAATATTTTTAATTGGCTGGCAGACATTTTGAATTTTATATTATTGAGAAGTGGAATTTTTTGACTCTTAAGTATTTTTGAGCTTTGTTCTAGCACATCCTGTTATTTAGGAAAAAATGTATTTTGTAAATAAAATGTATAGGAGACCATTGTTTTAGACTAGCCTCCTACACTAGGCACTAGCAGACCAGGCCAAACCAGAATGGAGTCACTCATGCTAGGTGCCTGGTAATTAAACTGAACTCTGAAACAGGCCAATCCACCCAACCCTACTATAAAAAAAAACTAGGAGATTCACAGCAACCAATCAAAAGGGGCCCAGTTTACCTGAGCTGGCATGAAAATGAAGTTTCCTCTGTTTTCTGTTGTTTTTTAATTTTTAAATTTTAATTAATTTATTTATTTAGAGACTGGTTTTATTAAATCACTTGTCTTTCTGAGTTTCATAGCAGAGTTTTTGGTTTGTTTAAATTCATTCTAAATAGATATTTAGGATGTCAGATTCTCACCTCATGGATTCAGAGCTTACAAGTCCCCTGGTCTATCATGGGACCATGCACATAAGGAATAAAAAATCATAATGTTTAAAATAAATGATTTTCTTATAAAGAAATATAGTTATGTGCCCAAACACAGAAACAATTTCATTAATAATTGGTCGTAGTCCTGGTGGGTGTGATTCTTTTAAGTTTGGACCTTGACTGAGAGAATTTCCAGTCGCTGTCTCCTCTCTGGACAGAAGTTCCAGATGATCTGATGGGCAGGGACTCAGGCTGTGTCCCCTGGGGCTCTGGTCCGAGTCGTTGGGACCCCTGGCAGCAACCCACTATGCCTGTGTCTGTTTTAACCCTATAAGGAAAGTAATTGAAACAAACTATTTTTTGTTCTCTGTTTCTGCTTTTCTCAGCCCTTTTCCATCTGTAAAACCAAACTCTTCTGCTCGGCTTATCAGAACACTCACTGTATTTTATAGAATAAGGCATTGCCCCATTCTAGAATCACAAAGAAAAGCCAATATAGATCTAATTTGCTGTACCTTTCAAGACTTACTTTTAAGCTTTGATAGGCAGGTCCAGAATAGCTGTTAAGTGTTGGCCTCACTACTGAGATCCTCTTCTGTGATGCTCTGTGTATTGGAAGGTCTTTCTGTTCTGGCTGGTGGAAATACCAATTATTCTTGGCCCTGTGTCAGCTCCAGAATTGTTCTGCCTAATCCTTTCAGGTGATCTTTCCTTCACTCAGGTCCAATAATTTCTTCATAGCATCACTGATATGTGTGTGTGTGTGTGCGCGCGCGCGTGTGCGTGTGTTTTCTTTGAGTGATCCCAGTTTACTGCAGTCTTGACTTTCCCGGGTGATTTTCCCACCTCAGCCTCCCGAGTAGCTGGGACTATAGGCATACACCACCACACCTGGCTAATTGTATTTTTTTGTAGAGACGGGGTTTCGCCATGTTGCCCAGCCTGGCCTCCAACTCCAGGGTTCAAGTGGCTTGGCCTCTTAAAGTGCTGGGATTACCCCACCTCAGCTGATACCTTGAGGAAAACTTCCTGCAAAGGTCTGGAACTATCACCAACAAACAAAAAACAAAACAAAAAAGAAAAGAAAAAGGTAAATAAACAAGGTCTGGAATTTTTGTTACCGTCTCTCTTTCTCTTCTCTCTCTCTCATATTCTGCCCCATGAATCCTACCTGCCTAGTGCTCCTTGAACCCTGAACTCTGTCTCCCCAACTCAGGGAGACTGTTGAACCCTATTTAGGTACGTATTCCCTGTACAGCAGCCTGAAGATTCCCTCCAAGTTGGGGCAACCACAGGGCTCACCCCATTTGATCCTTTTCTCCCAGGATCACTGTCCCGCACCGCTAGTTTCCCAACATCTGGCATTTTAGCTGTTTACTGCAGGAATAGAAGTCTGTTACTCCATAATGTCCAGAAGCAGAAGTCATTGGGATTTTTGTTTGCTTTTACCCTCCTCAGGTTAAAATTCTAACTTGCAGCCAAAGTTGAGAACCACTGAGTCTATTGTAATTCCAGCTTCCAAGTTCTAGCCATTGCTGCCCTGCTGCATGCCCCACTCGCAGCCGTGCGTCTACTGTTGTTTCTCAAATCACATCAATAAACTCTCCCTGCCTTCTACCTATAGCCAGGAGAAATGGCATGTCATTCTAGTATTTGATACTTATTACTACTCTCCTAATTTCCAGGAGTGGTAGTCTATGTGAAAGAGACAGTAAACATTCTGAATTACAATCAATCATGTTATCGGCAAATAGAAAGAGAAAAGAAAACTGAGCTGAGGGGATTTTTATTGAACTATCATGTTCTTAAATAGGTCTGGGGACAAAGAGACAAGCAGGACTTTATTGTAACCAAATGTATTTCCCTGATAATTGTGGTAAAAATATAAGCTAAATTAAACAAACCAATTAACCTGCTCCTTATCAGCAGTAAAATTAGCAGTAAAGGCAGCTCAGAGTCATTTCCTATGAGTCCTCCTGGGTGAACAGGAAGCACTGACATTTCCTGAGTATGCTGTACATTTCTGCATGCATCGGCTCCTTTTATCTTCACAGCGCTCTGAGTCAGGTACTGTCTCTGCTTAAACACGTGGGAAACTGAAATTGAGGGGATAGGGAACTCATGAAACTCACATAGCTTGTAACAGAAAGGTAAACAGTCTGTTTTCAGAGTCTGTGTCCTTTCCTTCTGCCTGACAATAGCTGTCACCAGTAGCCCCAATGCACATTTTTTTAAAAATAAAATTTTTCTTAAAATGTAACATACCTAGAGAAGAATGTAAACATTTTAAGTGCAGCTTGATGAATTTTCTTTTTCTTTTTCTTTCTTTTTTTTTTTTTGAGACGGAGTTTTGCTCTTGTTGCCCAGGCTGCAGTGCAATGGCATGGTCTCAGGTCACTGCAACCTCCTCCTCTTGAGTTCAAGCGATTCTCCTGCCTCAGCCTCCCAAGTAGCTGGGATTACAGGCACCTGCCACCATGCCCGGCTAATTTTTGTATTTTTTAAAAATAGAGACAGGGTTTTACCATGTTGTCCAGGCTGGTCACAAACTCCTGACCTCAGGTTATCCACCCACCTCGGTCTCCCACAGTGCTGGGCTTACAGGCATGAGCTACCATGCCCAGCTGCTTGATGAATTTTCACAAAGTGAACACATCTAACCAGCACCCAGATCAAGAAATGAAACAACAAAGGTTTCCTAAAAGCCTCCTCACCTACCGCCTCAGGCTTTTGACTGAGGAGCTTTGGCACAGAGGTACTTGGGATCCCCTAACTTGGGGTCCATGTAGGCTTCTGAGATCCATAAATCCCCTGAAATTATAGGCAAATACATTCCTGAGATATAGTGCCTTGGAGAATCTGATGAAGGCCCTACATCTTCTCAGGAATATATTTGTACGGCTGGTAGGGAGCTAGTATTCAACATCTGCTACACCACAGCCTGGGCTTTTTTCTGCTAGACCAGGATGACTTTGGTAATATCAAGTTGCCCAACTTCTGCTCAGAACAAGCTGAGCTTGAAATACCGGGCTGAACAGGAAATAAGAGTAAAGTCAAAAGCCCAGGACTTTTTTTTTCCCCCACAATTTCCTTCTAACCAATGAAAAATCATTGCGAAGGGGAAAGTACTGCCTCTAAAAGACGCACTTTGACTTCAAGAGGTGTGGCAGCATTGTAAGTTTTCTCAAATGGGAGTTATTATCTAACCACAAACCGTCTGTCATTACACTGCACTTTAGAGGATGTCTATGACTGGCTGGCAGAGAGAGCAATATTTGAATTTAAAGAAATGACCAAAATAACCAAGTTTCATTACTTCAGTGAGAAAGATAAAGCTTCTTGTCAGAGAAAACTCCATCTGGAGTCAGAGATTAGGCACTAAAACCCTGTCCAAGGGTAAAACCTTTGTTATTATTCTCAGTAAGTGGTATTATTACTGTTAATTTCATTAAGAAATCAGCCCCTATTTTAAGTAAAACTCAGTGAAAAAGATATGTAAAAACCATGCGAAGGTGCTTTGTAAACTACAAAAGATTACAAAAATGCCACTAAATGCAAATATTTAAAGCTTCAATTAAGAACAATTTCTAGAAAGCAAAATTTGCCTGTCTATAAAGGTTATACCGGGGGAAGGTAGAAGAATCAGAAGCCACAATTTTTTTTCCATTTTTGTTCTATTTTTTTGGTTTTATCTTTGAAGCCATAATTCTTGATGCCTACTTTGACTAGGTCACATGTAGCGTTGTTTTCTGTCTTTTTTCCCCTCTGCTGTTCCACCAGACCACTAAATTTAAGACTGTATGTATCTTCAGGCATAAATGATAAATATAAAAAAAGCAGCTCTGACTTTTTAATAGAAAATTAAACCATAGTCTCATATAATAGAATGAAAAACTGCATCCTTTCACGTATTTTTTTTTTTTTTTTTGAGACAGAGTCTTGCTCTGTCACCTGGGCTGGAGTGCACTGGAGTGATCTCGGCTCACTGCAACCTCTGCCTCCCAGGTTCATGCGATTCTCCTGCCTCAGCCTCCTGAGTAGGTGGGATTACAGGCACATGCCACTGCGCCCAGCTAATTTTTGAATTTTTAGTATAGACAGGGTTTCAACATCTTGGCCAGGCTGGTCTCGAACTCTTGACCTTGTGATCCACCCAATTCGGCCTCCCAAAGTGCTGGGATTACAGGCGTGAGCCAGCACACCCAGCCCTTTCACGTATTTTATATTATGCTGAGTCCGAGCTGCATCCTTAGCTTAATGAAATAGAAGGATAAATGAATAAAAAATTTCATCTCCAGCAATACGAGTTCTTCTTGTATGCAAAGCAAATACAGTAAGACAGCATCACAATTTTAGAGAACTTGAAATGCTGATCCTCTAATTCAATCATCTTTTCCTTGGCAATCACTTCTACTTCAGACTCATTTAATAGGTATGTCTGAAAAACACATCGTTTCAGATTTTATACCCTCTATTTTATGCTCATGAAGTACTACAAAACTACTCACAGAGACACTAAAGCAGCAACGTAGAATTTTCAGGGTTTTTTTTTTTTGTTGAAACACTTTATTAAAAAAAAAGTCATGAACAATAAATTACAATCATTTTCCCCTTTTATAAATTCTTCATAAAATATATTTGACAATTTTAACAGAAAATTTCAAAAGTTGCTTTCATTTCTGAAGTGCTGATGACTTATTTTTTGACCATTTTGTCATGCTGGTGAATTATTTTGTAGCTGCTACAATAGTTTGATTGATAACAATTTACAATTAAAAACAACAACAACAAAGAGAAAAAACAGACCAGCAGAAAGAACTATTCTGTGTGCTATTTATCTGACACTTAACACTTACTTCATCTTAATGACAAAGTATCCCTTAGCACCAAAAAATCTACAGGAACCCCATCTTTCTAAGTGACAACTAGTGCAAAATAACATTCTAGGAACTAACTGTACAACCCCATATTTTAACTGGCCACAGCTGCCTATAAGCTTATTTGAAATATTTGGTCTTTTTTCAATTAAGACAAATTTCAAAAAACACTATAAACCATGGCAAGAGACTCTATGAGGAATAAGTGCTTATTGAGTACCTATTATGGGCAAGGCACCGTGCACAAAGTTTTGCCTTCATTTTTCCTCTAGCAAATATCCAGGTATCTCCAAATATCACTAATCATCTTTTTTTACTCCTCGCTGGAAAAGGCCTTTGGCCAAATGCCATTTTTTAATTGCCGTTTTATCAACCAACCTTTAGTGCTGAGCACACAGTAGGTACTTAATAAATACCTCTGACTGAAAGAACAAAGACAAAGAATTTACTATCATTTTGCTTGGCTATTTTAGAATACAAGGACTTGAGAAAATTCCAGAAAAAACTTCCTGATCACCTCATACACTTACCCCCAATGAAAGAATTTCACTTCACAGGTAAAATCTTTCCAAATAAATGGTAATTATTAACTATTTTAAATGAGGCAGGACCAAAAACTATGTGCTTAGGAAACTGTGGCTGCAAGCACATAGATATTTGAAGATCAAATGAAGCATAGGCATACCATCATCTATGAATCTCTGCTGAAGTGCCATGTTACTGACTAGAGGTTATCATGATGCCTTTTCTTACTCCCTATAGCTCAACTTCGTTGGACATATCTGTTAAATTAAACTAATCTGGTGATTCAGAGGGTCAATTATCATGGGGGTCCAGGGCATTTCCACTTCTAATTTCCAAAAGAATTCTTATACTTGTCAGCTTGAAAGTGATGTTAAAAGTATGAATTTTCATTTTAAGAGGATTTATTTCAATAAGACCTTTTAGTCCAAATTTTAGACTTCCAGATCAAGTAACACTGAAATTTTATGTACTGCAATTTTTTGTGTGTGATGTTTTACTCTTTCCTCTGAACACATTTTAAACAGGGAAAAAAATCGTAACAGCAATATTCCAAAAGTTGTGGAAGTTCAAAAAAGCTGAGATTATGCAAGCTAGCAATAATTTCAATATTCTAATACTATTTTGTCTGACTTTTGACCAAAAATTCTAGTGCTTTATAAAATTAACTTAGATACAATGTAAAGTCTAT